AAAAAAAAAAAAAAAAAAGAATTTCTTGGTGATATATTGATTTCCATTAGGGAAAGGACCATTATAAACTAGTTACTTATCAAGGAACAAAAGGTAGTTCTTATTTATTACATTCACTAATATAATAAGAAATCACTCTTAAATGACTTTCTTTTTCCTTGAAATCTCAAGATAGTTTTGGTGGAATCTCTAATTCTTAGGACCAAGACCAAAAGTACCTATGACTTAGAACTTTTCATTCATACACATCTAGTTATTTTACTTAATAATAATGTTAATAGCAGTTCACTTTTAAGAACATATAATTGTGTTCCAGGCACTATGCTAAGTACTTTATGTGTATTCTGAGAAAAATTCTGTGATCCTATGCTTTTAACCTGTTTTTTTTAGAGAATTTTTTTTCTTCTTTCTGTTTATTAAGGTGATTTTTTTCTTTTGAATATTATTCTGTCCTAATTAAGGATTCCAGATTCATTCTATTAGAATTTGCGATTTCTTTTCTTCCTTGTTTTTGTTTTTTAAGATTTTATTTATTTGACAGAGAGAGAGCACAAGCAGGGGGAGCAGCAGAGGGAGCTGCAGAGGGAGAGGTAGAAGCAGGCTCCCCACTGAACAGGAAGCCCACTCGATCCCAGGACCCTGGGATCATGACCTGAGCCAAAGGCAGACGTTTAACCGACTGAGCCCCCCAGGCACCCCTGCAATTTTTTTTCTACTCTTATCTTCAAAATGCTTTTATATCAGGGTAAAGTAATATGTCAGATGTAGTAAATTTCTTCATAAATCACTCATGGGTACCATTATAAAAAGATAAATTCACAGTTTTTTAGTAGGGTCAACTAAAGATTGTGATGGAGTAATAGGAAGACTAAGCATAGAATACTGGGATAGCCCAGAGGAGGAAGTAATTACCTCTACCTGGAGGAGATCATTGTGCAGTGGTAGTCAAAAGAAAGGCTTTTGGAAAAGTGACACCAGAACTGCATTTCAAGGTTAAAGAAGAATTTATCTGCTGTGTGCATCAAGGGAAGTTGCCCTGGGCAGAGGAACAAAATGCACAAATAAAATTGTCTTAAACTATATTATGGGTATGTGTTTAAAAGAATTTAAAACATTGTTATTGTATTTGGAGGCGGGGAGGAAATGAGATTGAAGAGTTAGGAGTCAGATCGCAAAATGTTTTGGAAAGTAAAGAGTCAATGAAGAGTTTTTGTTTGTTTTGTTTTTTCAATGAAGAGTTCTAAATAAGAAAATAGAAGTTATGATCTGGTTTATTGTCCCAGTAACTTAATTATAACAGTTATATGTTATATAGAGCCTGGATTTGAGACCAAAGCATAGAAATCAGATGGGAGGCATAGCCAGAAGGAGCTATTACAGTAATCCAGGAGAGATGGTGGAAGCCTGAATTAAGCAGTGGTCATGAGCACATGAAATGAAGAAATAAATTCAGGGGTGAATTGAGAGAATTTCTGATTGTTTGGATCCAAAGCAATTTCAAGGAACACAAAGATTCAAGAATGGCCCTCCAGTTACTGAGTAGTTTGGTAAATTTTGGTATCACCAAACTGAGATAAAAATACTTACTAAGATTAGAGAGAATTGTAAGAAATGATTAGTTGACCTGAGATATCTCCAGGACATTCAGGTGGAGGTTTCATAAGCAGTTGAATATATATGTAAGGAACTGAGAGGGAAGAGAGTGAGTGGAGCACAGAGACTGGACCTCAGAAAAAGTGTTATCTAAGGGCAAGCAGATAAAGAAGGTACAGAGGAGAGGACTGAAAAAAAAAGTGAGAAAAATGTTGATGAAGAGGAATCTAATTGAATAAAAACGAGTATAAATCGGTGACTCAGTTTATATTATTAGTCTTCATGGAAATTCTTCATAGGGATTGAGAGAGATTAGGCAGAAACTGAAGAAGGCATGCAGGGTCAAGGAAATTTTTGTTTAGCTTTTTTTTTTTTTTTTTTTTTAATAGATTAGGAGAGACTTCAGGGATGATGGGATGGAACTAATGAACAGGAGAAGCTGAAAAGTATCAGAAAGGATGAATGGTGGAACAATATCCAGTTCTAGAGGAGATGGTATTAAGAACATCCAAGACAGGATGCTTTAGATAGAATGAAGGGTACTCCTTCTCTAGGTTGTAAGGAAAGAAGCAAGGATATGGACTCAGATAGTAATTTCTTAGTGAGAGTAGA